CTGCTTCAGGGCTAAAGTAAGAGGGTACAAAAAAAAGTGCACAGGGTACATTCAAGTACTCAATGAGTACAATCCAAACCAACAAAAAAAAGTTACATTTTTCAAACTTCGATGCCAACTTCACATAGCTCACCAGTCGATGGAGTTGTATGAATTTTTTAATATGACACATGGAAATGGTTTTTATGGGAGAGGTGACACTGCGAAAAATTGATATGAATATAGAGAAAATAGTAGGGTTGAGCGTGATAGGATTAACGATTCTGGGAGTCATTGATGGTATAACGGAGCTCACCCAGTGGTTTTATCGATCTGCGGTCGGACGGGAATTACCATGGAACGAGCGGTAGTTGCTGTGTGCATTTGTATAAAGGCGGATACACTAAGATGTTTATCGTAGGATTAACAGCGAGGGGGAGTGGTTCAGAGGGGTTGAAAGTAGGAGACAATAATGGTTAGAGTTTATTGTAAAAGAGGCGATGGGTGTTGTTGGAGTAGATAAACACTGATCAATTTGGACGCTTTATTCTCCCTCACGAATTCATTGAGAATTCTCACTCTTCATAAGTCAAAGAGGATGAGTAATCCTCTTTTTTTCCATCCCCTCCCTTTCTTTTTTCGGAATATAGTTTTCAGTTTATCCGTACTGTTTACTTGGATTCAAGTCTCAAAAGTTTTTATGTACTTGGAGATTACTGGGGATATCCTATGTAATCAGGGCTGAAGTTTATCGGCTATTACTTGAGTAATGATAATGAAGGATTCATGCTGGATATATCCTGGCAAACTTTTTATGCTATCGGTATTGTTTTATGGACTACAAGGGCCTATGTCTCATTGGGTTAATTCAATTAATCATACCAAAAGTTTTTTCGACTGCTTGCGTCGGATTTTTTTCATCTGCAAATAAAATAGTTTTATTCATTTTTTTTTTTCATTAACTCTTTGAAATAATTATCAACGACGGGCTGTTTTATCGAGACGAGGATATTGTGCTGTCATTTTTTTTGTAGAGCGGTTTGAGTTTCTTTCCTTTTTTTTTCCTTTTTTTTGCCGAGTTTTTACTCTGTGTTATCTAATCCTAGTGCCACCTAATTTTATTTTCGCTCTTGTGCGATGGGAGCACCGAGAAATAATGGGATGGCGGGGAAAATGATAATAAAACGAGAATCGCAGGATCGTTACAATATTTTCTGACTAGACTCGGTTGGCCCCCGTGAAATTTCATGGAATCTCTGAATCACCGGGTCCGAGAGAGAAAATGAAAAAAAAAAATCACTCGGTAAGATTTCACTAGCTGCAGAAGCACCACGTAATCACGGCAATTATTTTCTTGATTTTTTTTTTCTTCCTCCTCTTCCACCTTTTTATTTTTCTGTTACAGGCGCGTTCAACTTTTTCACCAGGTGAAGAAGTTGGAGTTGAAAAATAAAATACAAAATAAGACGAAAAAAGTGGGAATTAACGAGTGAAAGAGCAAGTGGGCAAAGTCACTACCAAGTACCGCTTTCAGATTGTCCCCCGTGTAAATCCGGTCATTATTTCTCCGGGCTTTTTTACACGGCCATTACTCTATTACCCGTAACGTCATTGAATTAAATGAAATTGTGTGTACTAGAAAAAAAAGGGATTAAAAAATTGAATCAAAGAGGACCAGGTGATTCCATCCACCTCGACCGACAAAAATAAATAAAAATCAATCGATATAAATCAAGAACGCGAGTCGATATCTTATCCGAACCCGGGGGTAGTTGAATTAATGAATGACAAAAAAATATCAATAAAATAATTCCACGCCAATAAAAGAAAATTGTCGAATAGATTAACCATGACGAATCGAGCATGATGCCTTCAAATGGCAAGCACTGCCCATGGGAATATCAACTCCATAGGGTGCCAATCCTAACCGGAAATCATACCCCATTTTCCTATCACCGAGAACGATCAAATAAATTTTCCGGAAAAGAAAGGAGCAAAAAAAAAATCAAAGCGGACATCATTCCATAAATATTCGAGTAGAAATTTAGCCATTGTCTATCCTTTAACGCTGTGTCGGATGATGAGGGCAGTCTCGTCAAATTTCGTCCGGGAAAACACGATATGCTTTTCCGGGTTGTACGGTATACCCCTCGGAGCCCTCAGAAATCGACCAATTTGCTCAGATGCGCTCTCATGCTTGATAACATTATCGTTGCCCATTCTCTCACCTCTCCCTCTCTCTCTCACTCACTCTCCTCATTCTTCGGTAACATACACACTCATCCCCCTCAACTTGGGCCAAACAATCTTCCCTGGGATTCAACCACCTTCCTCCTCAAACAACCTAATCTGCTAGCTAGCCCACCTATCTCCAATCTCGACTTTGTTACAACGAGAATTAAGGGATTAAATTAGTCGATGGTTTCAGCTGTCTGATTATCTGGCACTAGGTTAACCTCGTCCACTGATTTTCTCATGGTTTATCTTTATTCGTATTTAATGGAATAATTAAATCTCGGAAAATATCGCTCAGTCATTGATAACGGATTCTACTACATGAGAAAAATCATTACGATGTTGAAAATTTCTACCGAATATTTATTTATTTAAAAAATCAGGATCCATTTAACTGTCAAGTTTTCGCTGTGCGACGAATAATTGATTGGAGTAAACGTTAATTTCACGCGAGTTAGTAATTATAATGGATTATTGAAATAATTTGATGGCTCACCTGACTGGGTTTGCATCTAAATGCCGGCTGATACTTTCTCCTCATTTTCCTTGGACAACAGGCACACAGTATCCTGACAAAAGCCCTGGAATCACAAAACGGAAATTAATTAGGGGAAGAGCTTATTAGAGTACTTAAAACTTGGGATCTCTTGTAATACCCTCTAAACTTGGTATTCATGTCGTCGTTGATTTAATTGGAAATGAACGACGGCAAGATGGTTGAAAAATATTTTTACATTGTTAAAAGCAGTCGTTAACCGAAAGGACTGGGCTAATTGAGTAAATCGCCCTGTCCGGTTTATCGCTTTTAGAGAATACCAGTGGCAATAGAGATCTTGAACGATCGTCATGATCAGCTGACAATGGAAACCATAAAGGGTCCTCCACCATTAACTTCTGAGGTCTGTTTCTGGTTCTGATATTAAACTCTCTGCAGTTGAGTTGGATAGGCCCAGGATATTAAAGTCATGTTCGCATGACTAAAATGCACGTACAAATATAAGGAGTACCCTAGTTGACTTTCACCTCCTATCCTCCTCCTCTTCAACTACAGTATTTATATTTGCATAGCAGCCATGATAAAGTTAATACGACACGCGATATTCGTCGCATTTCAAGCGCATAATAATGGAGGAGCGCCCGATATAAATTCCATTGAAAAATTCACGGTAGAGATAATATTTTCGAGAAAAAAAAAAAGTGGCAATTTGATGTTTCCAATTAAGCGACAACAATGTGATAATTTCTCATGATATTGATTTAAAGAATTATATTGCCAAGAAAATTGGGTTAAAAGCCGTCATTCGGTTGAAAGCATTGGTGATTGTTTCCGTCATCCATCACTGAAATCATTTTCAGAGAAACCATGGGTGAACAAACAATGTCCTGTAGTACTGATTCAACAATTCGATAACAGCGAATTTCCACCGTATTACGATGTAAAATGCTTTTATCCGCTAACGCACATCACAGCAAATGATTTAAACGGGGATAACGAAAAGACTCAGTGGAAAATTATTGGGTTGACATGGACTCGGTTTGAAGTTTATCTTGGCATCATTTTATTTTTTCACACGCGCTGGTTCGTCATTTCGTGCATCTCATTTATGATTGTTGATAGTTTTTTCCGGTAGCCTTCAATTGTCACGATATGATGCTCGTGACGGTAACTTGGCTTCGATGACTTGATCATATTTCCGGTTTTTCGGTCATGGTAGTCGACAGCTTGACGTAGAATCCAACAAAAGCCCCCGGTGGAGGTCAGTAAAGAATCATGAACAGACGATTAGATTTCATTTTGGTGACGATATTGTTGTGGCGATGTGGTAATTCAATCGTAGTGCCAGAAGGAGAGAATCTTAGAATAGAGGATCCCAGTAATCGTGATCTAATCAATCCCGCCACGGATGAAGCGAGAAGCCAATTAGCTGAACTATCGGAGACAGTGCCCTGCTTGATGAAATTCGTTGAATCGTTCATGAATCAACTGCCATCAAGAATCTCCGTACTTTTAATGGAAACAGACGATCCAGACTTCTCCAGTGTTTATCTATCGAATCTCCAAGAAGTTCGTTCAACTTACATATTGAATGGTGACTTGGACTCGGAGTCCAATCAGAATACCTCTCTGGATGCACTTCTCATACTGAAGAGTTACGAAACCTTGGAAAATTCAACGTCCAGGTTGATTGATCTTTGTGGTAGGGACTGCAGATACGGTGTGGTTGTGACAAACATATACCCTGATGAGGCAAGTTTCATGGAGGAGGCGGTGAATTACGTGAAACTACTGTGGGATAAGCGAGTTGCTAATGTTGTGATATTGGCACCTGTTGGAAATACACTTCTTGCTGCCCAAAGCCAGGGGTTTATCGCTAAAAAGCTGACCGAACCATCAGATCCCATTCTTATTGGAAAGTGTCGTCAAGATCACTGGATCAACACAACGGAAATATTTCCTCTCTTGAAGATGAACAACAGCATCATTCATTTTGCAATAATTGAGCATGAACCGTATATTAATTTTAGGAATGATCGCGGTCGTATCAGAGTTAGAGGTATTGAGTCCAATATTATTTACATCTTGAGAAATGCTCTTCATTTTCGAGCCTTGGGTACGCCTTTGGAATGGGCGGAGGGAACGACTGTTGAGGAGGAAGTCATCGAGGAATTTGAGAGTGATAGAAAGATAGACTTTGTCGTCGGTGGATTGCTACGGACAAATGTCAAGGATGTGGATTTTGCTTTGCCTTACGATGTGACCCAAGTTGTTTGGCTAGTTCCCTCTCATTCAAATCTCTCGCTTCTCGGTCTTATCTCACCTTTCACCCTCGAAATATGGTTTTTGACAATTGCATCAATTATATTCGGCGGTATGATCAAATTCCTTCTATTCGACAAGATGTCATTTCTGGAGATTCACGCGTTGGTGATGGGTATTGCTTGGCACAAGCAACCAAAGAGCCTCTCATACAGAATTAAATTTATGTCTTGGGTTCTCTTTGGATATATATTGACACAAGTATACTTGGCTTCACTCGCTGGACAATTGTTGGCACACAGAGATCTCCAGATAAATACCATGCAGGAACTTGTTGACTCTGGCTTTATGTTCGGTGGTACAGCCAATCACAAGCAGTTCTTTGCGCACGATGATGCTGATGACAATAATGAGGTCACTGCTGTGGAAGCAATCTACAGACAATTTATTGTCTTCAGTTATGATGATTACATGAAGAAATTGGAACAGCTGATGCAGGGAGATAATACATCTCTAGCGCTCGTTGCTGTTCTCAATATATCATCGAGTAGTACAAGCATGCATCATGATACTTATCACATTGTGAAGGAGACACTTGCTACGACACCCCTTGCATTTCCCACGTGGAGGGGATTACCTTATTTGACGCAAATTGATTTGAAACTGGAGGCACTTATTCAGGGTGGAATCATCTCATTCATCGCTCGGAATGAAACGTCCATTCAAAACATTCACGATCGAACGGTGGAGAACAGTGATAGTAATTTGAAACTTGTTGATATAGCTCCGAGTTTTTTATTGCTGGCGATGGGGCACGTTGGTGGGGTGATTTGTTTGTTTGGAGAGTTTGCCGTTCACTGGTGGCTGAATCGAAAGCAAAAGAATGTATCCAAGAGGAAGAAGGTGACTCGAGGGAGGCTCAAGGGAGTCACAAAAAATACTGTTAGATGTGATGAGAAAAACATAATGTCGACTAGAATCAACAGAAACAATGGTGTGAGGTCAAGATTTCTACGACCAAATGTTACAATTCGGTATGACGACAGCATGCTTCCGTGGAAAGCAGCATAAAATCCTCAAGGCAAATAGCATGACATAACTTTCTTGAATAATTCTGTCAATAAAAAGAACTTAACCTATCTCTTAAACTGAGGAATTCCAATCGACGTTTTTCCTCAATAAAATAGACATAAGGGTTTTTCCACCTAGAGATGAAAATAGTACGGACCAACGAAAATCACACGGAGACTAGAAAATTGGGAAGGTAGCATAAAATGGTGGCATTTGACACCTCGGGCAGCATCAGCAGTTTTTCACTCTCGTAAAACGAAATTGTGCTCTCCGAAGGGGGTAGCCAACCTGAAATGCCCAGTGTCTTGGGATCTGCACGAGACAGGGCTAGGTGGGGATTAGCTAGGTGGGGCTTTGCCATGGGATATTGAGGGCTTCTCCAATGGTTAATATCGAAACGAGAGTTAGACCTAGAGAGCATGAAGCCAGAAAGAGTAGAATGCCACAAATTATTCGAGCACATGTAGCTCTGGGTTACCAGCTACCAACATGTACCGAGTATTATCCTCTGGGATTTGTTATGGGGCTTTTGTATGACACTTATGTCTCTGAAAGTCGACACGATAAGAATCTCATGCTCGTGTCAGCAATTTTTAGATTTTTACAGTCTTCCTCTCTCTCTTTCCTTTCTCAAACTACAGCTATCTTTATGCTTTTGACTTTTTAAGAATTCTTCGATTTTAATGCCCTGGTGATTCTAGGTCAGGTATATAGAACCGTTTATTCTTTCGACATACTGGAGCGTGAAAATAGTGTCAAGACTTTTACTCGGATATTGAGATGGGGATAAATATCAAATAGTACGTGAAAAATTTTGTACGTTGGGTTTGTTGAGAAGTAATTTGTAATGAGAGCTTTGCGTAATTATTGAGGGCATGTTGGCAGCTGGATCGTTGGCATTTGGAACGATTGGATGGGTCTGATCAAGGTCATCCGTGGATTCTGCATTGTGGCCAGTGAAAAAATGCCAACAGAGTGGTCGATGTGAGGGGATATAAGGCGATAGGTTGGAGGTCATTGAAAAATAAGGCGCCAACCAGTGGGGAGCAATGAGGGGGTGTCACTGAGACATTTACGAGGTTCGGGTGAGGAAAGTACTGGAGTTTATCTCACATCCCCACCAGGTGGCCACTCCCTACGTACAGATAATACCACATTTTTTTTTTCTTCTTCTTCACGTCCCTCTTATCTCCCTTCTCTTTGCTGGACTTCCCCTTTTTTTTTATCTCTGCTTGTTGGGTTATCTGTGTCAGTGGCTAATCCAACCATCTGTACATTTCTGTTTCGATTTCAGACGTGGGATTGCCATCTTTTCTCGTAGATGGTCATCATCTCCACGTGTGTCGCCCGATTTTTCCGCCATCGCGTCCATCACTGGAGAATCCAACGAGAACATTCTCTCGATTTTTCTTTTTCTTTGGATTTTTGTTTCGTTGGTTCTCTCCCCGAAATTCGGTAGGGCAAGATGATACTCTGGGTTTATCATGAAAAAGTTGATACTGTCGGCATCGATTTTACCTCAGGGTATGGGGGAAAAACCGGTTGGGAAATATGTGGGTAAACCTAACAAGCCGGAACACAAAATTCATTTGCATTTTATTAAGGAACGGATATGGCGATTGGAAAGGGGTACAGGTTGGAATACAAAAAATAAAGTCTGCTACATTGGCGAAATGCCAGGGCATGACTACGTACAAAAAACACCACCGAGTATCTCCAAAAAGCTACACTGCAATTGAAAGATCGATCGCT